AATATCATTAGTGGTGTAATGGAAGTTATTAACAATCAACAAAAACACTAGACATTTTGAAATAAATACCCGCACTACATCACTAATGATTTTTTGAGCATCGTTTGTTTATAAACGGATGCCCCAATATCATTAGTGGTGTAATGGAAGTTATTAACAATCAACTAAAACACTAGACATTTAGAATTAAATACCCCCACATATCACCACTAATGATTTTTTGAGCATCGTTTGTTTATAAACGGATGCCCCAATATCATTAGTGGTGTAATGGAAGTTATTAACAATCAATAAAACACTAGACATTTTGAAATAAATACCCCCACTACATCACTAATGATTTTTTGAGCATCGTTTGTTTATAAACGGATGCCCCAATATCATTAGTGGTGTAATGGAAGTTATTAACAATCAACAAAAACACCAGAAACTTTGAAATAAATACCCCCACTACATCACTAATGATTTTTTGAGCATCGTTTGCTTATAAACGGATGCCCCAATATCATTAGTGGTGTAATGGAAGTTATTAACAATCAATAAAACACTAGACATTTTGAAATAAATACCCCCACTACATCACTAATGATTTTTTGAGCATCGTTTGTTTATAAACAGATGCCCCAATATCATTAGTGGTGTAATGGAAGCTATTAACAATCAATAAAACACTAGACATTTTGAAATAAATACCCCCACTACATCACTAATGATTTTTTGAGCATCGTTTGTTTATAAACGGATGCCCCAATATCATTAGTGGTGTAATGGAAGTTATTAACAATCAATAAAACACTAGACATTTTGAAATAAATACCCCCACTACATCACTAATGATTTTTTGAGCATCGTTTGCTTATAAACGGATGCTCCAATATCATTAGTGATGTGATGGAAGTATTGAAAGTCAAAAGGAGCACTGGATATTTGAAAAATAAATACACTAAAATATCACTAATGATTTTTTGGGCATCGTTCACTGATATATGATGCCATAATATCATTTGTAATTTTATAGTGTTGTTATTTGTCAAAATACGCACTGCTGATTGAAAAATAAATATGCTCAAATATCACTAGTGATTTTTTGAGCATCGCTAAAAAATCTTACGCACCTAATACCATTAGAGATACCATTAGTAATCTTCAAACCATTACTAATGGAAACACATTACTCATTGGCATATAAGTACGCAAGATATCATTAGTGACTTTTCTAGCATTGCTTATTACCAAAATATCCAAGTACTACAAATGATTTTTCAGGCATCATTTTATAAACTAAATTGATGCCTGATAGCCAAATAAAGCACTCGCTCGTGAGATCAGGTATTACTTCTACATCAGTGGTTCAGCACTGCAGCTTCTTAGATATTAGTGCTTAAGCACCTCTCTTTCGTATTCTTTTTGATGCCTCATCCCTTTTAACGATAAACGGGAGTAGTTTCTCTTGTTTTTTCTGATGCGCCACTAGTTGCAACCTCATAGGATCTGTAATAATCATACGTCTTAGTAACATGATTCGTATAATGCAACAAAAACAATGCCGAATTTAGTCCCTGATCAACCTGAAAGAGCAAAAGAAAGTATAATTAAGGATGTTTACAATCAATCTAAATCGCCTATAAATTGACAATTCATATCTTTTCACTTCATTGCATGGACAACATCTCTAACAAATATATTGTTAGAAGTAAAATGAACCTTAAATGAATAAAGGTGCCAAAGCCTGGACTTGAGTCCAGGACCTCTCAGCGATCCGAAAATTCAAAAATTATAAAAAATCATAAATCCTCCACATTTATCGGGCGCTAGTTTTTGTCCACCAAAATACTTGGGCGGGTTCCACCAAGTTCTGAAAACCACTTCATTAGACAAAACTTGAAGCAAAAGAATTATAATTAAAGATGTCAACAATTAGTCTAAAGTGTATATAAACTGACCACTCATATCTTTTCACTTCATTGTATGGATAATGTCTCTTACAATATTGTTAGAAGTAAAAGAAACCCGAAATGGATGAAGGCGCCAAAGCCTGGAACTGATGGTGAGTCCAGGACTTCTTTCAGCTATCCACAAATGCACTAATTATAAGAAATCATGCATGTTCTAATAAGGCCCGCCTTAAATTCGCTCCGCCAAAATAGTCGGGCGGGTTCTACTAATTACTGAAAATGACTTCATTAAACATAAACTTAAATGAATGAAAACCATAATTAGGACAGCCGAAAATAAATCTAATCCGTAGCAAGCGAACACATCCCAACCAACCAACCAACCAACCAACCAACAAATCAACAAACCAACAAACCAGCCAACCAACCAACCAACCAACAAATCAACAAACCAACAAACCAGCCAACCAACCAACCAACCAACCAACAAATCAACAAACCAGCCAACCAGCCAACCAACCAACCAGCCAACCAACCAACCAACCAACCAACAAATCAACAAACCAACAAACCAGCCAACCAGCCAACCAACCAACCAGCCAACCAACCAACAAACCAACAAACCAGCCAACCAAACAACCAGCCACACACACACAACCACTTGACTGAATGATTCATCACTGGAGTCATAATTTAGCAGTCAAGTGAAAAATCAACGCTGGTCGTCATGCAAATTATGTATCTTATGCAAATTCTTTGCATTACTTGTAAGTTTTAACAATATTTCAAAGGGTTGCGAAATTGGATAGATTACCATAGCGTGTGTTTTACTTCATCGAGAACATACTAACGCTCAATTTACGTTCATTCTGATAGTGACAGTGAATATTCAGTTTGTGAAAGCTCTTCTGGTTTCACTTTTGGAAAGGTTGAATTCTGAAGTCAATCAAGAATTCTTAGAGACTCTTAATAATTTGAAAGGAGCAAGCTCTTGTTCCAGTGAATAAACACTACATCGATAATGAATTTATCTGTTTCTAGCTGTGATATTTTAGGATTTTTGCTGGTACCGTAATAAGTAAATTGAGCAGTATTTGGTTTTCTTAAGAATCAAGTACACATAAATTACTACTCGTAAATAAAAAGTTATTACTTTGTCCACTAATAGATGTGATCTTTATTAACAGTATGAAAGCTAAGTGACTAGCGAGTAGTTTAGAGAAAAGCTACTATTATAGGGTTTTCTTTTTAATCTGCTTCACGTAGAGTTCACGTCCAACAAACACATTCAAAAGATTGGTAAGACGTATGGAAACGGTTTGAAGTGTCAGAATGTTCGTTGTATGCATTTTATTTATGATGTGGTTACTCACATCTTTGTTCATCGGTTATTTTCAAAGCTGTTATCAGAAATTGAACAGTAAAAACTATCAAAAATTAAATTATAATTTGATAATTCTGAAGATAATTTATGATGAAAAATATGAATTAGTAATATTTATATTGAATAAAAGTAAGCAAACTTTTTTAACTTTATTAATCCTCGCTTGCCTTTTGAGTATATTACTTTTTTCTTCAAGCTTGAAATAATTTAAAAAAAAGATTTAGCAGAAGTCTAATAAATTAAAAGTGTTAGTCAATTTTTCGAATAAAATAAAAAATTTTTAGTTTTACATTTTTAAATTTTTGCAAATTTAAATTTAATAAAATAAGAAAATGATACTTTACAAATTTTAACATTATAGTAGCATTTTAGAAAGATATTTACTACAGACAACATTAATTTAGTATTATTGAAAAATTTTACAGTTTTGAATGGGATAATTTGCAGATAAAAGGAATTTTTCAGCATTTATTATTTTTTAATTTTTATGCAAAATATTTAAAATAAAAATTTTAATTCACTCCAATATTTCCATTAAAATTAGAGTCTTAAAACGAACGCCAAATTGCAATACTCACAAAAAAGTGGACGTCAACCTTCATTAAATGCGGAATTATCGTCATTATCATTTATCACTATTATTACTATTCTTAGTAAATTAATATAATACTATAATAACTAATGAATTCAACTATTTTATAAGAGTACTTACATAAATTATTAGATTGTTATTAATGTCTCTATTGTTATTGTTGTTATTAGTATTGCCATTCCCGTCAAAACTGTTACTACAGTTCAGAGTAAATTACAATAACAGTGATCAAACAGTTTATGAAGTCATGATAACAATACTAAGACTTAATTAATTGTTGAATTGAATATCTGCAGAATAATTTATTGGCTGAATTAATCAGTAAAAGCTTTATATAAGGAATAAAAAGCAATTTTTGCGTGTTACTCACAAAACTTCAAAGATACGAATTATAACTGCTCAACTTGCGTTCAATACTAGATGCTAAATTTGAATTCAAAAAATTCGTATTTTTTTTTGCAGATAAAAATGAGATAAGCATTCTCGCGTGAACAAATTTTTGCCAAAAATGTGAATTTATTCTATGACTGAAATAAAATTGGTGCTACTTGCCATAGATGAAGCATTATATTTTTGCATAATTCCATTTAAAAGTAATAATTGTTGAGACAGATTCATCTGATCAAATCAAATGTGCTCAGATGGATCATTGCTATAAGCAAGTTAGTAATCTCACTTCCATACAAATTATGGAGTAATCCTCAACTTGACAAGTAATATTAATCTCAGCTCTTTTTCTATGCCTGCAATAAAATGTCTGAATTAATTCTTATAAAGTTATGGAAATTTACATTTCCTCCAAGAATTCATGCTAAGATTGCTTGTATTCTGCCTTTAAATAAAAGATTTTGAGTTAATAAGAATAATTTTTATATGTACTATTTATGCAAATCAATTTTAGTTGTCTTGTACAAATTAGTTTCTTTAATACTAATTATAATTAGATTAGAAACTAATAGTATATGAATGCTGTTGGATGAGCAATAATTTATGAATAAACTAATTAATAAATAAATAATTTATGAATAATAATATTTATTACTAATTATCTATATACAAATAATATTATTTGACTACAGCTGGCAATTATTTATAGTAAAAAATTTATTTTGCATAAATATTATTTTATGATAAAAAATTAAATAATATTTTGTGTGTGATAGTATTTATGTTAATTAATTTTATTAATATGTAAGAAATAAGTTATATAAGCAAAATAGTTTTATATCAATGAATAAATAATGTACTGATAACATTTGATAAATTCCATGTAAATTAAATATTCGCAAGCAATATCCTTCACGTAAAATTCTAAAATACGTCATGCAATATGTGGATTGCATTAAATGATCAGAAATTCCATCAGTGACAAATCTTGTATTTTGCGCAGCTCAGATTAGTTCAGATGAGTTAAATCCAGTTCTGTAGTTATTTTTAGAGGTGTGATAAGAATTTAACGCTATTTATATTGCTTCGGGTAGGAATATACTAACTGGAGTTCAGATTTTCAACTCGTTTTCTTATTTTTTTAAAACAATTTCCGTGTAATTTTAAATAAGTACTAATTTGTAATCGCACTTATGAATCGTTACATTAAATCACAATCATACTTGATGATTACTTCTTAATTAGCTAATTTGTATATTGCGCAAAATTTATCTAAAGGAAAAAAGTTATTTTTGTGGTAAATTTGATGAAAGAAATGTGTGAATTCTATAAAGAATCATTGAATGATGCAAAGCATCTGTTGCACTTACTTATATATTTACTTATTTATTTATTTTATTTATTTATTTATTTATTTATTTTATATTTATTTAGTTATTCAGTTATTTATTAATTTAGTTATTTAGTTATTTGTTTTTTCAACAAGCAAAATCAAGCAGTAGTCTTATAGAGGTCATCTGTCGAGAAAACTTTCTACAAATGATAAAAGAATATATGCAAATGTTTACTTTATTCAGATTAGCTATTTTTAATGAATGATTGATTTAAATTGATTGATTCAAATATTTAAATCTTTTTTTTCGATTAATTTCACTGCAATATTTATGCATCAATCCCTTAAAATATTCACTTAACCATTTTTGGTATCTCACTTGACCTACCTTTTTCAGAATTGCATTTTTCTGTCCTATTTCGAAGAACGTCATTATCAAATAGTAATAACACGTTGTTGCAATTTATCCATTCATGGCTGATTTCCTTAAATTTTCAAATACTTAACTTAATATGCAAATTTTTATTCATCGTTATTTAAATCAGGACAGAGAAGTAATTCATTACAAACGATTTTTGGAGCAAGAATTTGATAGGCAACTTTGTAGCGAATATTTTTACTTGGGATCAGTATTTTGAGCAATATTTTCGCAAGATTAAACTAAAAATTTGATTTAAGTTTTTATTATATATGCGTATAGTTTATTTGATTCATTTTAGAATTTGGTTATGATTAATTTATCATTTTTATCAGTGATTAATTTGGTTGTAGACTTGTCGATATTTGTCATTATATATGCGTACTTTAATGAACAAAAGAACTGATTTGATACTATCCGGATTATTTGTTTGCTACTATTTGTTCCAAACTGTCTTTTATCAACTGGACACTCATAAATTCTATGAATGTCTCTTGAAATTCTTCAGTGAGTAGTTCAAAGGTTAAATCATAATGAAGTCAAAACTTCTTAGCTCTTGTAATTACTTATCATATTTTGTAAAATGTTCAGATACCTTTGCAGAATAAAATGATCAACGACAACAACTATTAACTCTATTTAAATATTTTAGAGTTTGTTGACAAGATCAAGAAGACATTTTTACTTCTTCAAGAAAATTGCTTCTGCCATCATTTTTTTGATATTAAGCAAATTGATGGCAATTTTATATTTTGGATGAAAACTTTACGATTTTTAAAAATTTTGCAATTTTTTAAAAAATTTTGAATTGTTTTGAATTTTTTGATATTTTTTTTGTGATGAAAAAGTTAACTTTTATGAATTAATTAATCAAAAGTAAAATAAAATATTAGACATAGCTCAAAGTTTCTATGGTAAAATTTGAATGATTTAAATAAATTGATAAGAAATTGAGACACTGTTGCGGAATGTATGAAAATTAATTCTCATAAAATGTGCGTTGAAAGAAGAATTGTTCAAATGATCAAAAGTTTTCACGGGAACTGAAATGCTTGCATAAAAACCGGTCTAAATTAATTCTCTTCACGTAGACACGCTACTTACTTATCTATTTACTTAATTATTAATGCCTCGCAGAAGCAATAAAATGTGCAGTAGAAAGATGCAAATAAATAAATAGCAAAGAACAGTGGCCATCGCGCGGTGGTCACTTCATTCTTCTTATCATATTATCACTTCGGTTATCAGCAGAACTTCCTTTTCATTATTTTTAACATATTTCCTTATGGAGTAACTAGAAGTAGCCTTTTTGTGATGATATCGAATTGCATTTCTAATCAAAATTGCTATCAATAATTGTGCTAAACAAGTGATAACTGATCTGCTCGAGACGATGATTTTATTGCTATATTTATTATTTAAATTCAAAATAAGCAAGATTTTGCTATTACATTTAAATAATTTACTTCATATCCACTCAAAGAATCAGTTGATTGATAAGGATCGCCAATTCAAGTTAAAAATTCTAATTTATGCTCAAAATTAACATTTCTTGGCGGGTAGCGTACTCATATTATATCAAATTGATACTGACAAAAAGTATAATTTTGAATTATTCGATTAATTCAATTGTGATAGAGATTTGTTAAGGATAAATAATGTTGATAAAAATAAGTAATGCATTTAATTATCTTTTTTGATTAATTAACAATAATCATTTTCAATAGCACA